ACTAAAAATTCAGTCGATTCCACCGAAAGCAAATTTTCACTAGTTTTGTGAAGGGTCCTTTGTAGAAAGAATTTTGTTTATCTCGTGCACACCAAAAAAGTTGAAGTTTAAATTATTCAATTTTGCTTTGGTTTATTTTTGGGTTATTTTAAATTAGTGCCGTAGTATATAGAATCTTTGCAGAGAAATGTGATTTAAAGCATTCGAAAATTATAGCTTTAAGCTTTTAAACTCTTTTTCAAACATCACTCCGCAACCATATTTTTCGCAGAGATACATATAAATTTTGAATTTGATTCTTTTAATGTTGATTTTAAGTGATTATTTAATTTTGTTCAGGCAGGCAAAATTTTAAGATAGAGTAACTTCGTCAGAAATAATCATAACAAGACTTTTTAAAAAACACTTTACAGTTTGAAGTCTCCACTTTTTAAATTGATACTTTAGAAAACGACTAACTAAATTTCTTTGAAGTCGCATAGATGTAAATGGAGGTATGACAAATCGCAAAATTTTTCCCAAACTTTGTAAAGTTCCGTGGAATGGAATAAAAATCGCACACAAACGTGGTGGACAGCTTTCGAAAGAATGAATCTTTTCTTTTAATTTACTTTGTTGTTGAACGTTGTACGATTTTTTTCACTGAATTATTCAACATTGAAGCAAAAAAGTCATTTTTGCTTCAACATTGAATAACTCGGTGAAAAAAATTTCAAAATAGAGCAACTTCGTCAAAAATGATCATAAGGAGATTTTTTAAAAACCGTTTTACAGCTTGAAATCTCCACTTTTCAAATTGATATTTTAGAAAACGACTGAATTTCTTCAGAGGTACATATAGATACAAATGGAGGTGTGACAAATCGCAAAATTTTTCCTAAACTTTGCAAAATTTCATGGCGTCGAATAAAAATCGGACACAAACGCAGTGTACAGTTTTCGAAAGAATGAATGTTTTTCTATGATTGTTTTTTTATTGAGCGTTGTACAATTTTTTTACTGAGTTATTTAATATTGAAGCAAAAATGACCTTTTGCTTTTATGCAACACACACACACACACATACACACGCACACGCACACGCACACACACACGCACACACACAAATTTATATCAGTAAAACATATAATAGTCATAATAATTTGGGAATGTTCATAATTACCTTATAAAAATTCACGACAAAAATAGACAAAAATAGCGTACGTACCAGCAAATCTTGACAATATGAGTGACTTAATCCACATTTGTCGAGAAATTCAACGATGTTATTTGGCATGGAAGAAGTCATTTATTTCTTTTAGACTTAAGCACTGTTGCAACGAAGTTTGCCACCACCGAAGCGCCGTGATATCCGCACAATACGAAACAAATAAAGGTGATTTATGAGACATAACGCGGAAAATGCTTTTTGTGCGGTAAGAAGCGTGGTAGCCAATAAACTTTATACAGTTCTATATAATTAAATTATATAATTAAACGAATTATATAATTAAACGAACAATAATTAAACGAATGCAGTATTGCCGTGCGACAAAAGTTTTCGCATTCGCGGTTAAAACCGAAAATGTAAGGATTAGTACGGCATTCACGCGACCGACTGTGCGGCACAAACACAATTGAATGTATAGTACTGATATAGCATTGCTCGTGTCATCTTATTATATTAAACGTTTCCGTAATTTCAGCCAAAAAATGTAACGGTTGTTCTAAAAAAAAAATTATTTGCATAGGATAACGCATATCATAATTATTTGCTATTTTCATATAAATAAATTATTTGTTACATTGTTCGTATTTATTATAATCAAATAATACATTATTTGGTTGAAAGATATTACTGCAAATAATAGTGTAATTTCCGTCAAATAATAGATTTTTGAATGAAACATAATTTTTATTTAAACAAATAATATGTTTCGTATATATAAGCATATATATGTGTTTCAATGGAACAAATATCAATCAAATAAATAGGAATACTAAATTTAAAGAAACCTTTTTCTTTGTGTACAAACATTCTCTTTACATATTTATAACTTTTATAAATTTATGCGATAGAATCTTAATTTCATAGACATTGATGCTCAATGGTTTCAGACATTTTCTGAAGTAGAAACGACGACGATTGCGAATATGTATGATGCGGAATCAAATTATCAGCAGAATTACGGGGAATCTACAAATGATTCTTATGAAGAAGAATATGTACAGCGTTATAATACTCGAGGTCCACTTGGGCCCCGTGGATTTCCTGGGTCGCCGGGATTACCCGGTTCTCCTGGCAAGAAAGGTGAACCTGGTCGAGATGGATTGTCCGGATTGCCAGGTATATCCGGTCCACCAGGTAACATCTTCGTAATACCCTCGTGGAATCAACAGGGTAACGAGAAGGGACCAGACTCTCAGGCGGAAATGTTGCGGCAGATGATATCACAACACATGCTTTCTATGAGAGGCGTAGAAGGCCCGATGGGCTTTACGGGCGTCCCTGGTCAAGATGGACCACCTGGGCCTCAGGGACATAAAGGAGAACCCGGTGAAATCGGTGAACCTGGACTTAGAGGAGACCGAGGTACAGAACAAATTTAGAAAAGATAGGAATATGGTGACGACTTATTTCGCAAAGTTATCGATTCTTAATCTTTTTAATGTATATTGAGAAATTATTTAAAATATATTTTTTTTAGTTCTTTATAGTTTATTTAAATTGTTGTTTCTTAAGTCTAACATGGAATCTTGTGGAATGAATTTCTTATCAAGCGAAGCGACGCCAAGTATATAAAAGTCGGATGATGACCTGTGAATATACGACACTGGCACTGTCAAATTAGCGCTACCGCTTATAGCTTTATCTCAAAATTTTACTTGGTCAGATTTCTGATTTTAATATCTCGGAAATGAAAGTTCTAATGAAAAATCTAATGACACTTTCATTATATAACGTCGATACGAGCTTTCGATTGAGACCAGTCCGAATGGAATCAGTGCAGTCAATCCTGAGATTTCGAAATGAGTTTATGAAAATGCTACTTCAGCGATTCCAGTCTTCTTCTTCTTATTCTTATTCAAATTGTCCGCCAAGGCGCGTTCACAACATCAGTGTCAAACTTGGTGTATCCGCATTTTACATACATTTTATTAATTAATACAATCTGGGTACGCCAAGTTTTTGCTTCATTAAGATCCCATGGGGGATTTTGGTCACTAATTTAAATCTGTTTTATGAAATTTAAAATTATTTGGAAAGACAATGGCATTAAACTTTAGCTGCATATATTTTTAGATGGTTTAAACGGTTTATTAAAAAAATATTTTTGTCTCTATGTCTAATCAAATACTTGGCAACTTATATGATCTCATATTTGTTTTTGGACAACTTTTATTTGTTAAAATAATATTCTTAGTTTAGGAAAGATGTAATGTACGATCCTTTTTTATACTTGGCGTAATCTTTTTTCTTTTTTAAAAAGAGTTTTTGTTAGGTACTTAATTCTTGTAAGTTCGCACAAAAATTAAAAAAAGCAAAATTTTTACAGGAATTCCCGGAAATTCTGGTAGAGAAGGTAGGAGAGGTCGTCCCGGTAGAGACGGCGAACGCGGTCTCAGTGGACTACCTGGAATGAAAGGCGAGCAAGGTCCGATAGGATTGCCAGGTTTCCCGGGTGATAAAGGCGAACGGGGATCTCCAGGAATACCTGGTGAACCAGGTTTGCCAGGTCATGAAGGCATACAGGGTGAGGACGGTCCTCCGGGTTTACCAGGTCTACCTGGTGAATTGGTAAAAATGTTGTTACCATTTTATTTCTAAAAAGAGAATATTAAATAATAGTGCTCTCAAGTATGTTACGTCCAAGCACCGGAAGATAATTTTTTAAAAAGAATTAGAAGGAGTCCCGCTTAGAAACGAGACAGGATTTAGAGAGAAGGGAGGAGGTATGGAAGGACGTAACGAGATAATCTGTTTCGCAGGTACGCGCGGAGGCGTACGTGCCTGTGGTGTACTTTGCCTATGCGACCTTCGTTCACGCTTACTTGCGAGGAATTCGCAAGCTTGCAGTCTTGCATTTCCGCTCGCTCGTAGTCATGTATGCGTTGCTATGCCAAAATGCAAGGCTGTAATAGCACTCAGGTCATAACAGCAATTTGAGGAAAAAATGGATTTGATTGGAAAATATGATTCGGGATCATCCCTATATGATTACCAATTCTTAAAGCTATTCATTGGTGAACCATCTTAGATGTGTCACCAATTTTTAGGTTTCGCACTTTGTTATTGATGGGTCCCTGTTAAGATTCTTATTTGATTAGTTATCTACTGGTAATCATATTTGTAAGGACTAAGTTTGTTTATTTGTATAGATTAATGTTTGCTCCCAATATGAGATTTTGAACTCAACTCGAGGCTTATCAATTTAAAATAAAATAATTATTTTTCTGCTGAAGGGTTATCTCGTCCCTTAATAAAGTTTCACGACTCAACATGTGTGGGCTGTTTTTATTACTTTTATCTATGAAATTTGAAATTCCGTGCTTCAAAATCAAATTTTATCGATGTATTTTATCATGTGTATATGGCAGTATGTAAATTGTGATCCTTATTGCTTTGTCGCGAGTCCAGTCCAAACATGCCTAGGCAGTTTATCTGTTAGTTTTTGAAAATAGAATTCGTGAACAGGTTAATTTCGATATTGGATTTTTCCGTCGCAGATAAGTTGTATACTGCAAGATACAATTCTTATCTGTTTTCAGTAATAAAAATTTCTCACATTCGGTCGTATAATATTTACTTGAAATGGATTTTTCTCAAGAAAACCAATAACGGTCAATTTCGTTGAGTCGAGGTATCTTTGTCAATTGATAACCGTAAAATATGTTTTTACTCTAAGAATTCATTCCACGTATTCACGAAACAAAGAAATCGTAAAATCCACTGGACGTAACAAGTGGATTTATTAATTTATTTAGAGTTTGAATATTCAATTTTTTACAGAAATATACATGTTTTTTAAAAATGTATACATGTGGCAATATGATTTAAAAATAATATTTTATAAATAGTTTTAAAAAATAATAAGTCAATTTTAAACGTTATATGAGAGGTATATTTATTCACGTAGGGTCCAAGGGGATTTATTGGACCAAGAGGATTCCCTGGATTATCAGGTAATCCCGGTATTCCTGGAAATGAAGGGCCACCCGGAGTTAAAGGCAATGCTGGTCCACTCGGTCCACCTGGTGCACAGGGTCAACCAGGAATTGCAGGTTCAATAGGACCGCCTGGACCTCAGGGTTTACCAGGGCCGATCGGTTTAGTCGTAAGTTTAGTTGTAAATATGATCAATAAAAAACAATAACAGAGCTGACGAGCTAAGCTAGGTGTATGTGCTAATAATGTGTATTGATTGAGGTGATAAACAATCTTTTATAACAATGTTATATAAATAATTAACATACAAAATGTACCAAACGTTTTGACCCTTTTATATAGCGGCCATCCTCAGTGAAAAAAGTAACAAATTTAAAACAAAACTTACATTATATGTCACGCATTCGCTCGCAATAATTTACATTAGTCTGATGCTTTAACAAAAATTATTGCCCTTGTCATCCAGATCTTTTGGAAAGTCATCCTTAGTTCATCCGTATTGGTATTTAAGATTTAAGATTTTAGTTGTATCTACATATTATTGATTTATTTATTTTCATCCTTATTGTTGTGTAGCGTGTTCTTTCTTCTTAGTTTGTAAGTCTTCTGGATATTCAAACTTAACAATATAAATTTCAGGGCGCGTCAATAAATGAACGCTTTCTCTCTCTTTCTCTCTCTTTCCCTCTCCCTCCTCTCTCTCTCTCTCTCT